ATATTATTGTAAACAAACATTTCAAGGGCGTGACACCACCAGGGTGTCACACACGTCCCACATGTAATCAAGGTCTGTTTTTTATCTTCCAGTCAATCATTGGACCATAAACCACCGCCTCGTGCGTGCCAATGGTCGACTGTATCTCATTCAGTTTGCTTCTTGGATCTAACCACCCCTCCTTGTAATTCGTTTTTTCAGACACAATGGCTGCACTCCATTTTCCTTTGATCAAACCATGGTCATACTTAGGTTTCAACCATTATATTCCATGGCCTCATCCAGCACTCATGACTTTTTCTTCCAAGAGGCAAACACCCTTTCTTTTGTTCACTCATTAATATCAAGGGCGTGACGTCATTAGGGCGTCACATACGTCCCGCTTGTAACCAGGCTCTACGCGGTCATTAAAACTATGTGAAGAATGCAGATTCAACTCTTGTGTGCGTGTGTTCTTTATTCCATGGGGTCACGTGAATAACCATGCCCAAATATGGGCATTTGAGACGTCAATAAGTCACATGGGCGAAATACTCGAATCTGATTGGTCGAGACAAAATTTGCTGCGCTCTGATTGGTTACTACCTAGTGTAGCCCTTATCACTACTCTAAAATGCTCGAAAAAATGCTAGAATAAGGTACAAAAGCCTACCCTTGTACATTTTTAGCTTGCCGCGTTTCAATTTCATCCTTGGTGCTGATTTCACTTTTCTCTGCGTTTATAGGAAAATAAAATTTGCATCAAGGAACAACACTGATACATCTCTCACTTAACAACGCTATTCCAACTTGTAACAAACAAAAGACAAAGTCTACCTATGTGGATTAAAAAATAAATTCCGGAAAAAAAATTGTTAAAACTGTACATAGGCTGCTTTCAATAAAAGTGCAAACTACTTCAATTCCCCATTCCAGAAGCTCTAGGAGAATAGTAAATCGTTTGGGTTGACAAGCGTTAGTTATGATTGGTAGAGTTGGTCGATAGTATTCAAGACAACAATTAACCAATCATAACTAACGATTGGCCACCCAAAGGATCCCACAAATCTTTGCGCCGAAAGCTTGTACCTATTCCTCTTATAATTTTCTGAAATGGGGAATGTCAGTGACGAGTACATCACACGCACTCAAAAGATCTCTATACACTAGTTTCGTTTCGCTGTGGTTCTGGAGTCGTACGCTTGAGATAAGGCACAGGAACAAACACAGCTGACGAGGGCTGCTCAGCGCCCCACTCTTTCCGCTAAGGTTTCGATCGCTGATCTTTCCAAGAAGACATGGACGACCGAGGGGTTCGCTCTTTCGGCGTTTCACCTGAATTCACTAGAAAAGCTCTGTTAGCACTTTTCTGTGATTGTGATCTTGTTTCGCCAGCAGCTCGATCGAGACTGCCCATCAACTTTTCTTGTTTCAATACCAAGATTGTGGTGTATTTCACGTTCAATTTGATAAGGATTACGTCGTCTTCGACCAGAAACATGAACTCCATTCGGCTGTTCTAGCTCGAGTCCTGGCTTTTATGTTAGTTTATCTCACTATTTTAGGCTTAAAATCTATGAAATACGTTCCCAAAAGCAAAATTGAATCTTTAATTTAGATTGCTAAAGATCATGGAAGGCCAAACTCGCGGACGAGCCACTGATTACTCCCATCAACGCTGAAAAGCGCGGTACAACCCAGAGAATTTTTTTTAAAATTAACATTAATTAGCTTTCCTTTGATGAACGTGTGAAATGAAAAAGAGGTGGAATAAAAACCTTACAATGGATCCACAATAGAATTATACTAAAGCAGAAAGGTCCAATTTATTTAAATTACAGCTGTTTTAAGTCCTGAAGGCGTCAGAAAATAACAGTGTCTCTATGGTCACAAGAAACTATCCTTAAGGTAGGGCAGAAGGTAGTTAAAAGAGTAATATATAGATTTAGCCACAGCTAAAAGCGAAGCTCCCATTAATAAATTTATAACTTAAATCAAACAATAATTTTGTATTCCACAAATCAGTTAACTTAAGGGCACATTCATGTGACTTTTGAGGGAAAAGCTTAGTGATTTTGGACTGAAACAAATCTTGTATCGAGTTGATATAGCCTTATATGTACACCCAAAAAATAGTCTTCGGTCACATTTAAGAGCAATAATGGCTTTTGATCACAGTAGATAAGGCGTGGAAAACAAATTCTTGGAAAACAAATCAGGCCGAATTCTTTGCGTTCGACAAGTTTACAAATTCTTGCCAATAAATCTGGGTGCGTGCAAACCATTCTTTTATTTTATTTTATTTTTTATTTTTTTTATTTTATACACCACATCTGAGGAGAAAGAGTACTATAAGGCGCTGTTTTTATCATACAGACCTCGTACAAAATGCAGTATTTCACAATTTTTCAAGACAAATTGCATTCATTCAATACTCAGGACGATCGAAGCACGCCAGCTCATACCGCGAAAATAATGTAGCCTCTGCTCGCAGGGTATCCGAAATCGGATTATCTGCTTTGACAAGCGACGCATTTCTCAACCAAAAACCCAGTAAACAAACCAGCCATGAATAAGAGAACACTCTTGATAGCAGCTGTATTTCATTTTTTACATCCAGTGGAAAAAGACAGTTAAAAACATCACAAGTTGACTCAAAACTCTGTCAGTTTCAGCTGTCAAAGTAAACAACTTTCAAGATGCTGCATGAATTTTACGCATGAACTCACCTGTCAAATTTTAACCAATTAGAGCATAAAAATTGGACGTGGAGCGTGACCAACACGTGACCATGGTTAGAAAAGGTCTTTCCCGCCTGTATTTTAAAAAAACTGGCTGAATTTTTGCGTCTGAGGTCAGCTTGACATCAAAATCGTAATAGTGCGGGGCGATGCTGACACAAACACAACATATTTGATATGAATTTTAAAAAAAAGTAAACGTGAGCCTGCGATCATTTGCCAACGACTAAATTGTCAGCGGATAACTTAATACTGGACCTTGATGGGCCGACACCTGAGCCCGCGATACGGTCAGGTGATACTGGTCAGCGGGGTCATACCCTGTTTTGACAGCTGTCAATTGATGTCAACATTGATGTGCAATCAGCTTTCTCCTGGGCTCCCAAAGTAGCTAGAAAGTGTGAGAGTAAACATTGGTATGCCTGTGGTGCGGACGGGCGGGCGGCGTACGGTCACGTGACTACCAAATTTTCTGGGATGGGTAGATTTACTTACCCATGGTGCTCCGCAAGCGCGCTAGAGCTCCGCTATTAGCATTCGGTGCAGTGTTAGTTCTTTTTTAACCAAGTCGACAGTAGTTTGATCATTTTTGTTGAAACTGATTCTTAAGTTAAACCGGTCCCTGATATCTTCTAACTTTTATTACGCATTCACAAGTTCTACAGTCATGTATCTTCTTTGCCTCTGGTTTCGACCTTATTTCAGAAGCCATGTTAGAGTTATTTTTAGGTCTAAATCCGTTCCGGCACGGACCAGGGACTGGGCCGGTTAGGAAGAATTGTGGGTAGCCTTTTTGAGATATGTTTAGTTGTACGTTGCAAATTTGAATCAATCTTGGTCAGCATTCATTCGAGCTCCTAACTTTTATTTTATTTGCTATATTTCAAGTGTTATATTTGTTTGTAGGCTTTTGGCAGCTAGTTTTTGCGTAGCTCTGCCCTCGAGTTGTCGGCACCACAGCTGATTTCAGCAGTTGCGGGCGTACGTTCCCTTTTTTCCACAAAGTGGTTTTGGGTTTTCGTATCCGGCGGTGTCGTACTGAAGTTCTTTCGAGGTTTGTGTTTTTCACAGGGCGTTCTGTAATTAAGTACGGTCTTGTTATCTTACGGAAATAAAATGGCTTTGAGGTCCTTGTTGACCTACAGGAAAAAGATCTTTCCCATCACCCAAATCGTCCCGTAACTGCCCCGCGCGGATCCACGCCTTTGTATACCGTTTGTAGGGTCATCAATTTTAGCACTTAAGGACTAATGAGTTAGTCATCTAACTTTCGTAGGAGCAAGAAATATTTCAAACCATGCCAGGATAAAAAGACAAAAAAATGGTAACGTTGAGCCGAAAATGGTGATGAAAATCCTCCACTACCCACCTACACTTTCTTCCTTTTAATACCATAAGTCTTGAGTTCTCCAGAACATTTTCTACCGAAATGAGGCCCAGTAAATTCCCAGGACCAAAAACCTGAACAAGAATAAAGAAAAAGGACGGGAGGAGGGAAAGCGAAAGGCAAAAATGCCACGACTTTTAACCTAAAATATCGAAAATTTACTCTCGGCAAACACCCGTGCTTCCGAAGCCCATATATTGCATCTGGAATAGAAGGTGTAAAGTGCTCGATATGTAAACGACGTTCCTGGCAGTTTTGGCTCTTTATAGGCAGATAGTGAGCAGACAACGGCTTGTCTAGCCTCAAAACGCCTATATTCTAAAAAAGCTGAGCTGGTTTTGAAAATCTGAGCGCTCGAATACTTCTTGTATCTAATTGGCAATGTGTAAAAGGACAGTTATTAAAATAACGCCATATCTGAATGCTTTAGTCGATATTGCTACGTTCATCGATGGGCCAATAAAAACTCGCGTTACTTGCATAAGGAATCTAAGCATTCTTTAACTTTCCTTTCCTTTTGCAGATTGCTTAAGCTGTGCTCATTATAATACATTACGTTGAGACAGACAGAAATACAAGCTATGCCACAGATTCATTATTGTAGGATTTTCGTTCAAAAAGAAAGTACACAACCTCTCAGTGTTCCAAGCACATCTTTATTGCAACTAATCGCCGCGATAATAAAGCACATTTTGTTTTCTAACATTTCACTATATCAACCAAAAAACTGATGTTATTTATCAGTTCCTTCCTGTAAAGACCCCTTCTCAACGGATAGACAGTATGACGATTATAAAGTTCCCGTTATTACTTAGATTAGCAATTGAAATGTTTTAGTTCTTCACTACTCAAAATATCTTCTATGCTTGGACCTGACCTTATGGCCTCCTGCTCTATACCCACTTGTACAGGGCGCTGTTTATGTTGTGCTTCCGGCGATCGTAGTAGTTTGCTACTGCAAGGTAAGTATGACCTTTGTACTCAAATGACGTCATACCATGCGCTCCATGTGTGGGAATCTCTTGGTACTTGATGAACCTTGCTCCAGAGGCCTGGTACACAACTGACTGAGTATTGTGTTTCTGACTGTCACCATAGTGATTAGCCACACCAAGGTAGGTGAGACCGTTTTTGATCACAAATGGACACCATGCGGCGGCTCCTCGAGTAGGAATGGACTGAAACAGGACAAACTTGTTACCATTCCACTTGTAAATGAAAGAATCGATGTTGTTTTTACTTCCAGAATATTGGTTGGCAAAAGCGAGGAACGCGTGTCCGTTGACGTAGAAAGACTTCACATCTCTCGCTCCGTAAGTCTGAAGAGACTGCAGTTTAACAAAGTGACCTCCTGACCATTTGAACACAGTGGACTGAACAGAAAACTTGTGTTGGGAGTTGTAATTATTTGCAAAAGCGATGAATGTGTCACCGTTTATCACAAACGCTGTGCATCCGGAGGCACCGTCAGTTGGTATGTCTTGAAAACTGTTAAACTTGCCGCTGCTCCATTTGTAGATAACTGACTTTGTAGAGTAGGTACTTCCGTCACGGTGATTGGCTACTGCGAGATACCTTTCCCCAAGTATCTTGAAATAGGTGAAGCGAGTTGCTCCCGTTGTCGGCAATTTCTGAAAGTCTACAAACAGCGTTCCATTCCATTGATAGACTGTAGAGTCCAGCCGGTATGTTCCATCGTAATGATTGGCGAGAGCAAGGAAATGTTTGTTAGCGATAGAAAAGTACTCCAGGTCATACGCTCCTCTTGTCTGCAGGGTCTGGTACAAAGACAATCTTCCAGTTGAGTTGTCCATCTTGTAGATCATGGAACTTGTCTTGTATTTTTTAATGTCCCCATGATAGTTGGCAAAAGCAAGAAACAAACTTCCATCAATGGTGAAACGTTCCACACCTACAGCTCCTCGGGTTGGTAGGTCTTGAACTTTTTCAAAGAAGTGGAGTCCAATAGAGCAGTCTTCCACAAGAAAAAAAAGGAGGAACATCTTTGTTAACAACTTATGTCAAGAAAAAAACCTAGTTAGAATCAATCGACAAAAGAATTTACTCATGCGTTGTGGTTTTGCAATGACCAAAGATGGACCACGGTGTCATGAACTTAAAATTCGGAAACTCTTCTTTCCAGTGAATCAATGTAAATGTATATCGTAAATGTATACAGTAGTAAATAATGCCCTTACCGGTTAAACAGCACCCTGATTTGCTCTAAAATGCAAAATAAATTGTAAGAACAAAATACAATTAAATAACAAAGCTAACAATCTCCTAATGTACACTCCCGGACAGAAATCCTAGTGCAGTGATGCAGTATTCATAATTGTTTGTAATTTCTGGAAGTCCTTATAAAATACACGTTGGGCATCCCTTCCGAAATTTTTTTGCAGTTCTCCCTCCCCCCATCCTATACAATGTTGAAACTCGGAAAAATTCTGGATACACGGCGACACGCGTCCAACGTTGTTTGTGGGGTGGGGGTAGGGGTTGGTCATATGTGAATTGAAAAAAAGCCGCACAAATGCAAATGTGTCCCAAGACTTTTGTACATGGTTGTAGTTATATATGCAAACAGAGTTGAACGCCTGTGCAGATAACTTTTTCTGACGAAAAACTCCCTTGATCAGACACCAAGTGATGTAAAAAGGGTCCTGCTTTCAAGATGACATTGAGCTAATCTTACGTTAACATCATATATGGTAGTAGGGAACATAGACTGCGAGCATTATTTTGTTCTTGTTTCCTTAGGCTTGTTAAAAACCTCGATACTCACCGTCAAGTGTCACAACTTTGCCGCCTACTCACGCTTTCTTCTCCCTTTTAAAGACAACAGGCCCGAAAAGGAAGAGATCGTGCATGCAGTCTATAGTAATTAAATTAATATGGCTCGTTGTAATCATTAGCAATTATTGAAGGAGGCTGAGTAGGATATGAAAAATTCTGCAGATCGAATCTGCAGAATACTTCACATCCTACGAAAGCCGAATTCAATAACTGTTTTATTATTCCTTCAAAATAATTCCAAGTTTAAAAACAAGCTAAAACATGCTAACCTCGGTCGATGTAAGTTCATATCGATAAAGCATCTTTATCGGCAAGTTTAGGAGATTAAGGTCTGCAAATATACTCCCAATAGCAGATCTTGTCCGTCAAGTTGTTTTCTTGCTGTTCTTGCGATGTTTTTAGACAATACTTCGAGGTGAAACGAGTGAAATGTTCCGCGACAGTTCAGCCATTTGGTTCTAACTACCAAAACAACTCAACCTTGTCCTCAGGTTTTCTCGGTCAACGGTTCAATAACCTGCAACCAGGCTGCACTTTTGACGTCATCGGTTCAATATGACAAAATTCTTTTCAAATTTCGTCAACAGCAGCTGGTTATGGTAAATTATGTGTGTGTTTTTAACCAATCAGAAACGGGGAAATATTTTGCACGAATAATAAGGATAATTATTACTAAAGGTTATAAGGAATGAAAATCTAGGAGCTGCAAGGTAGTAATTACCTTTGTATCACATGTTCCCGAAATTCCTTTTTGTCCTTGTGATCCCTTCTCTCCTTGGGATCCTTTGTCACCACGAGATCCCTTCTCACCCTTATCAAACAAAGTATTTATAATTATAATGAACATATATTAATATTCTAGTAGATAGCCAAAGTGCTCGGGAATTTTAAAACCTGATCACCACTTTATCCTTTACTATAGCGATACAAGAAGAAAACTTAAAGTTACATGCGGTACTTGTTTTGTACCAGAAAGGTATCCGTGGAGAAATAAAATTCGACCTGTTAGTTAGTTTGGTCGAGCGCCAACTCGGACATACCAACTAACAGGTCGAATGTAACATTTAGAAGCGTGAGGGAGATGAAAATTGAATGAATGGTGTGTGTCGCTGTGTTGGATAAAGCATGTGCCTTCGTTTTACTTTTGGACACTGAAAATTAGTTGGCAGAAAAAAAAACAAATATTTGATTGAAGGTAAATCCATGTTGGAGAACTGATCAAGGTTGTTAAAGTGTTCTTTCTTACAGAGAAAAAAGGTCATGAAACTGACACTTACTTTAACACCACCATTACTGTTTTTATCCATTCCTGGTTCTCCTTTCACCCCCTGCAACAGAAATAATAAAGAGCACTTGGCCTGCTTACAAAGGGCCTGGGAAAATACGGCAACAGAATCCTGGAAACATCAATATTGAGGACATCCACAAGATCAGCCACATTAATTTAAGAAAAGTGCTCTCTACCAACGAGATAATAGCGACTCCCCCCTCCTCTCAGCCACTCCCAAGGAAACTGGTAGCTCCTCGGAGCTCTGAACAGTAAGAACTGCTAAACAAGACATAATAATAATCATCTTCGTCATCATCATCATCAACATCATCATCATCTGTCAAAACGATTGAAAAGCTTCAAAGTATACGGAATTAGAGATTGAAATCTCTAGGATATGGGGCCTTAAAACAGAAATTGTGCCTGTAAATATTGGAGCTCTTGGCCTACTAAAAATGGGCCTGGGAAAATACGTGGAAAAAATAAATATCAATAAAAATATCAATATCGAAGAACTCCCAAAGATCAGTCTTCTAAGCACAGCCCATATTTTACAAAAAGTGCTGTCTACAAATTAAATGAAAACTCCCCCCCAGCCACTCCCAAGGAAACTGAGTGCTTCTCGGAGCCCTGGACAGTACGAACTGCGAAAGAAGAAAAATATAATAACAATAACAATAAGTAATTAAAGCAAACTGTGAAAAAGGAGTGACAATGATGATGATGAAGATGGTAAATAACAAATAGAGACAATCTATACTGTGGTGTGATCAACATAAAGCTAACTGGTCTGATTATAATTTTGATCATTTTGCTTAGTCCAACCGAAATTTAAACACACAAAAGACATTTCTACACCCAATATAATCACTGATGTTTTGTGGAGAGATACAAGTGTATGGATCCAGAAACTGAAAACCTCCATTTGAAAAGCAGTACATATTTATGATACCTTAACACCTGCACTTCCATTTCTTCCTGGTTTCCCTGTTTCTCCTTTTTCTCCCTAACATAGATATTTACAAGGTGAAATCCAAACTGAGAACACTATAACTTAGAAGATGACTATTACTATAAATTTTATTCATCTTCTATTTATCTTTTAAGAAACTTCAGCCTTAGTGGAGAAAAACGATGGTGCATGGGTGCTGCAGTTATGAGGTGGCACATTGCTTTTTGAATGTGGTACTAAAAGATGTTTATTTATTTATTTTTTAACAAAATGACTAAAAATTAAAAGTCATCACATAATTAATGCACTTTTTTTTTCACCTTTTGTTTAGTTTAAAAGTGACCAAAACTGCTCCATGCCCATATTTAAATTAATATTAGTTCTGAGTTTATATAGACACCTGCTAAGTGACTACATGCATTGTATAACCATAGAATAGGGTAAGGGAGGTTACTCTATCTTAACTTGTACCTAATAGTGTCTTAAATCAATAAATCCCCTGTCCCACTGCCAAGGGGCCTGGGGAAAATATAATTATTATATTTTGGATCCAGGCCCTTTGGCGGTGGGGACAGGGGATTTATCAGGCTCATGCCAAACGATATTAACTTCAAAGACTGGTAAAAAAAAACCAGGCCTCAAAAAATATTCAGCTGGGGGTTTTGAGACAAGTTCCCCACCCTTTAAGTGCCAGGCAAGTAACTTCAAGCTCAATTGACTAAAGAGCAAAGGAACTGACAAGTCATACTCACATAAAAATGCAATGTAATTAACCACTTCAAGCAAGCAAGCCATTTTTTTTAAGGCAGTATATGAATGATTAGAAATATCTTGTTCCATTTTTGTTAAGACTTGCAACAATGAAAACATATGACTAAAATTAATGTTGCAAATATATCTAAAAAAAAACATTTTACCCTATTGACTTTTTTTAAAATGATTTTATGTCTTCTTCTTCTTTCTCTGAAAAGGGAAAGCCTAGATTTTCAAGTTACCTCAAGCTTCAAAATATTAGTTTCATGCGGTAAAACTTCTTTTTGGCAACTTGTTATCTTCACACTACAGAGACCATGTCTGAGACGTACAGTTCCCTGGTTTGTTTAATTTCTGAACTTTTCAAGCAAAAAGAGAAAACAATGCATTAACATTAAGAAAGGCCAACCTTTATTCCACTGCCATCTCATCCATCACGGCCATCTTTTCCTGTGTTCAAAACAGTTAACAAAATGTAATATTCAGATTACAGGGCTGATGCTCTGAGGGGCCCCTAAAACCTTACTTTTGATCTTGAGTAAACAGGAAATCTTAGCTTTCCCATACAAATCTGATGCTTGGCTCCCCGTTTTTCACAGGTTCAGAGCACTGGACTCCTTATAATTTTTCTTGGAGCACAGCCTTGGATTAGTAATATTACAAGCTAGGGTAGAACACTGACAACAAGCTACAACAGGGGGGATGACAAGAAGGAAACCCATGGTTAAGATTTATTTTGATAATAATTACAGTATGCCTGACAACTGCCTGGGGACTTATTTCTAGACCTTGATTTCACTCAACGACAAGGTCAATTTCTCGCACCTGACAAACAAATCCAGACAAATTGTTTTTTAAGACATGACTGATGACAAAAATATAATTCAATTTCCCTTTGACACTTAAAATAACTTCAGAATTGCTCAATAGTTGTCAGAACAACTTCACACATTTTTTGGAAAAGTTTGGAAGTCCTCGGAAAATTGTTGGAAATGTGTGGAAGTAGCTGGGACGTTTTCAGAAACTTCTGTCATAACAGGACGAAAATCTCATGCTTAATTAATTTGACTCAGAAAGAGTTGGCAAGTATATACTGACATGTTTGTATTTGTATAAAGGATAATCACGGGCGACAAGAGGAGCCTGCAATTCTAATCTCCAGGTTGTTATTACGCATACGTTGCATGTATGTAGACATTCATTTGGACTTCCACAAAGAATGTATGGAATGCACAGAATGCACTTTGAGCACGTGCATTTGGACCTTATATCACTCGTAATCCCGTATCATTTTGACCACCACACAAAGCACAGCACTGGATTGAAACGAAAGCGTTTTGACATTCAATTGTTGTTGCCCACACTCCGCAGCCTTTATTACTAGTAATATTTAATAAAATAATGTACATCACCATTCACTCCATCGCGCCCATCTTTTCCTGCAATTACCAAAAATAACACTTGATTATACAAGTGACTAATTATTTACTTAATCATATAATGTTACATTAATGTAAATGGTAATGAAGAAAAATTGTTGCATTTTCATGTGACTCACCATGTTGTCCATCCTTTCCATCTTTGCCTAAAATTATTTGAAAAAATACAGCCATATATCAATGAAACTCACAACTGAACTAAATTACCATCCACACAATCTCGCTACAGCAGAACTAGCAAGTTGTTATGTGTATAACCTGAACTGATCCCACTAATGCAATACTTAAATGTACTTTGCTGGCCTCAAATACCTTGATTTCTGGTAAATTTTAATCTAAACATACTAAGAAGATTTATTTTTTGTTTTTGGTATTAGCTGGTATTTTTCCATATCGGTGGATTATTATTTTGTTGAAAATCAATTTTAAAATAAATTGTAAACTCACCATCCTTACAGCAACCAGCCTGAGGTACAACTTTACAGCTTTTAGACTTTGCTGCAGATCCATTAGCCTGTTAGATTCAATTTGGGAAATTTAACATACTTTCATGACTTAAAGAAAGACTGCAAACTCTAGATAAATGAAAACACTCTTGACTATAGCATAAACTGAGTTGCAATGGAAACTGAATTTGGAAAGATAAGAAAAAGGAAATGAAAGTGGTTAAAAAACAGGAAGTTAAAAGGGTGAGGCAGCATGGATATCGGCAAGTTTCTCCTAGTAAAAGCCTGTCTTCAGTGTGAATTTAGAGAAATGTTACCTGCAAGAGTAACAAGATTGATACATTAAGTATACATGGCTTAGGTGATGGCTTTAGTTTGCAGGCTGTTGCAGGTGATAGTGTTATGGTCCGGGGGGGGGACCACCGGATTTCCCAAGTGACAAGGATGATCAACTGGGGACAAAAATTAAAACCCAAAAACATCAATGGACCAAAATTTAACCCCCAAAAAATCCAATGCCGAATTTCCAAGCCACCAAAAATTTCCAGAAAGCGTTAAATGATATAACTATGACAAATTTTCAAATTGTTTTGAATACCACCAAAAAAACCTACTTAAATCAAGCTATCAAAAAAGTACTTGCTAAAATTTTCCCACCTAAAAAATCCTAAAATCGAAAATATCAAACCCCAAAAAATCCTTTAATCATCCTTGTCACTTGAAATCCAGAGTACGCCCCTCGGTTACGATCAGGGTTAGGGTCCGAGTTACATGACATTTATAATTTTACACCTACACAGCTGCAGACCAAACGCTCTGCAGCTTAAGGAAAATGTAGGATTTTCTCTGCCAAGGCACGACACCTTTTACTGTTGTTTGCTGGGAGAGAAAATTAAGCCAAAGCAGTTTTGCATTGGGACGTTTCACTCAAAAGGTTTAATTTAAGGTATGTCACTGAAACAAAGTATTCTTTTGATTATGTGGTCATGACATTGCAGATTTTTGGGAAAACAGTCCATTATCTCTTACTAGTCTCAAAAGGGATTTCTTCTCTAAGGGAGGGGGTTGGGTGCACCTGTGTTTTTGAAGGTCAAATAGATCAGTTTTATCGATAGAAAAAGGAATATAATATATATCCTTTTGAGGCCAAACCAGAACTTTAAACTCACTTAACATACTTAACTACGAGTACTAATCTTACGAGCAACATGACAATAGGTTTTTAAGCTTTAATACCAGTTTTTTAACTCTTTAATATGACTATTTTAGCAACAAAAAAACAGCATTTTTGACCAGATCCTCCTTTTTGAAGCAGTTTTTGGCTGGTTAACATGGGAATGGCTAAAAAAGAGATTTTTAACACTTAAAGCATATTTTTCTGCCAATTGGATGTAATTAAGCAGCTTTTTTTTTTTTTTTTTTTTTTTTTTTTTGGGGGGGGAGGATTTGTTTTCAACATTCTTTCCTCGCATTCTTTTTTTTCCTTTTGTTGTCCTTTTTTACAGCCCGTTTTGTTGCCCACTTTATTGTCTTTCCTTTGTGCGGAGTTTTGGCTGGCTACCTTTTCAAGAAAAGGGCAAAGAGTACCAGGTAAATAGCAAAATTCCCCAAATGTTAATTGCTTGTTAGTTTTCAATAGCGTTCTTGCAACTCTGTCAGGATTGGTCAAAATTTGCTAAACGAGGTACCTGCGGAAAGATCTATCCTTGCTGATTTTGCATTTTTTTTTATCGTAAGAGCTTAAATGAAAAGCTGAATGGGTCCATGAAGGAAAATGTTCATGGTTCAAAAAGGACCAAAAAGCCCAAAACAGTCGTCAAAGAGTAAAAACTCACCTGAGCTCACCTTAGACCTCACGTTTATTGTAAAGATTAACAGCCAATTCTAACAATCAATCTTCTTAAAAGCTTCTCTGATTGACGCTCTGCTTCCCGAGGATTATTTTAGGAGTCGAACAAGGTAGATTTGGGTCAACTTGTAAAACATAACTTTTAAAATACTATTCCTGAGAATTTTGACTGGTTGGCAAATATTCAGCAGGCTGCCCTTTCTCATTGAGAGGAGACTGGTAACGAGAGACCGAGGCGTTCTCACACGCGGGTGTGCCCGCGGGGTTTTTTTTTTTTTTTGGCGCGTTGTTCACGCGAATTTCTCAAACCCCGGTTGTTCAGACTTCCATATAATCATTCAAACCCAACCTAGCTATCTTCCCCTCAATCGAAAACTTTAATCTTACCCCCATTTTTTCAGACCCCTGGGTTCTCGTGCATGGAGTGCAACTATTTTGTTTTCTTTCAAGTTTTATAATCTCATGAAAACTGACGATAGCCTAGTCCATGAGAAAGCCCTGAATGCTGTATCCTGTAAAATCGATGATAAATTAAATTTGTATCTCTGGTAGCTGAGTTTCTAGTTTGAAACCAAGATATTGAACGGATTATGAATCTAAAAGAACCTAAAAGCGCATAAAAACAGTTTTGCTGAGTCTAGAAAGCTAAGAAAACCGCATCTGAAGTCCCTTGCCAACAAAGATTCTTGGGAATAATCTGGGAAAAGTTGAATGCCTTAAAATTTGGTTCGCTGTAACGTTACCTGATTTGAAGAATTCTTCTGCGAAGTTCCGTAGGAAACGGCCAAGCAAATGGCCAAAGTCATCAAGAAGAACAGACGAAACATTTTCAGTCTTTCTTAGTTGGAACTGAACGTATTTCACAAATGGAGCAGTGTATGAATGTAAGCTTAGAGTTCCGGAGTTGAGATCTCTCTCATAAATACAAAACGCGAAAATATACGAGATGGTAGGCCTATTGTTTTTATGTTTTCGTTCATGACAGATAAGACGAAGCTGATCTTGGCATTGATGTATGACTGATGGTCTAAAGTCTAAACTGTTTAGGCCAAAAGACAACCGTCCATCTCAGAGTGGGCTTCCTGTTGTTTCCCCAAATACCCTACTAGCTATATACCCTCTTTTCTCCTGACTACATAGTAAATTCGTCTCCTCTGATCTCCGACCTGATCCAGCCCTAAATCAAGATTTGAAGCCGCCAGGAGCCGATTACGATTAAGTAATCGGCTCCCGGATCCGCCGATACAAAAACACGAGCAAAGTTCGGAAGGAAGGGATAGGACAAGGAAATTTTTTTTACGTCTCACTTGAAAAATGGTGTTGAATATCACATGATCTGCCTAGAACCCATGCCTAGAGATATTTAGTATTTCCCTGCCATAATAGCTTACGTTGCAGGCGCTTGGAAGTAAATGGCGCGGGAAAGAACGGGACGCGCGAGGGAGACAAGCTGCGCGCAATCGAGACTCAGCATAGAAACGAGGTTGAAGTACATGTTAACTCCTGTTGGTGATTGACTCTCATAGCAGTGTGCCCATGTTGTTTGTTCGAGATGCAGGCCATGCAGGTAGGAAAATTACCCTCAAGTATACATATACTGCGCCATTTACTGCCTTTGTTCATATTCAGTTGCGCTAATGTAGTTAATCAGAATTAAGTTGAGTTAGACTGACACCACTTAAACGTGACCTGTTAGTTCTAAGCACAGGGGGCCCACACAATCTGTTTGTGTAGCCGATTGTTATTTTATAGTAAATGTACTGGATTTACCGTTTGCTTCACCTATAGCGATATATCGCTAACTATGTATCTACATCAATGATAAATAAACGTTGAATTACCTTACCTGTGGTGTATAGTCGTCCTTTTGCCTCAAAAGCGGTTTTTTGAGCGATTTTGAAGGAGTTTGAGTTCGCCGTTGACTGTTCCATATATGGAACAGTCAACGGCGTAAGCTATGAATTAAATGGAACCGGCTATTAATGGATTATGGTTCCATGACAAGATGCCTCAGATGTTTTTTTTTTTTTCTGGACACACTGGTTAAATTAAATGCCTCCCATAAACAATTTCGACGTTTTTATCAGTCAATGATGTAGACAGAGTGATTTTCGTATGACCTTGAAATGAAAACGCGCAAACAAAACAGAAACAACAAACGAACAGAAATAGAGCCATTTGATTGGTTTATCGAACAGATACAAACTCGCATGGCTTTTGGTTGGTTATGCGAACTTTCGGGTGAAAAAACTTCATTCCTGAGAACTTTCTAGAAACCAACCCATACTTCGCTTTGACGTCATACTGCAACACGATTGGCCAATCGAACAATACCTTCTCCATATTAGGGTTTTCTTTGGCGGGAAAACAAAGAGGCCATGTTTTGATCTTTTCATCCATTGGCTGATAAAACAAATAACGAACACTTACCGAAACCATTTTTCAAAGTCATATGAAAATCGCTCTAACGTGGGATCCGCGCACATCAAACATTTCATCATGTAATAAGAGAGGCGAACGGTGTCAGAGGGCTACAGATACTGATGACCTTGGAAATAATGCTGATGAATCACAGACCGTGTATATAAAGAGAGTAATGACACATATAACTGAAATGTGCTTTATTTTATCTTTCTTCTATCCTACTTGCCGTAGAGATTACGACTGAACTTATCGAGTGGTCTCATGTTGAATTTCCATCTCCAGCAAGAATAAATTATGAAAAGACAAGTTTCATGACCCGTTCCTGCTGAGTGAAGTCACTTAGAGTGACAGGCGCCCTCTGCATCCGATTTCTTTGTTTCACAATAATCCCCGCCCCCAACCGCCCCTCGCTCTTCCCAAGACAGATCTGCCTACGCTTACGAAATGTAGAGCATGTATTTAAAGAAATTAAGCACTTTTTTGTTTCCCCCCCCCCCCCTCTGTCCGCTATCTTCCAACAAAGAAATTTAATCCAAAAGCAATGTGGCAAATATTTCTTTTGCATGCATTGTTTAATTTCTCTCTCTGTGTATTTTCTTAATAGTTGTTTTACCTTATGTATTTCAGAAAATCCGGGAGAAATTGGGATTTGTGATTCTGTTTTGGGTTTTGTGATTCTGTTTTGGGTTTTGCAATTCTGTTTTGGGTTTTGTGATTCTGTTTTGGGTTTTGCGATTCTGTTTTGGGTTTTGTGATTCTGTTTTGGGTTTTGCAATTCTGTTTTGGGTTTTGTGATTCTGTTTTGAGTTTTGTGATTCTGTTTTGAATTTTGTGATTCTGTTTTGAGTTTTGTGATTCTGCTTTGAATTTTGCGATTCTGTTTTGGGTTTTGTGATCCTGTTTTCAGTTTTGTGATTTGGTTTTAGGTTTTGCAATTCTGTTTTAGGGTTTTGTGATTCTATTTTGAGTTTTGTGGTCAATTCTGTTTTGTTCCTATCAGGCACCGTACGTTTTACATAACCGATTACCATCATATTAAGCCTCGCGATTATTTGTCATTCCATCTCTGTTTTTCTAGCAAATGTTTCAAAGCGCCCGACTGACGAAAACTTGTGAAAAAATTGATTTGCCAAGTAAACTAGTTTGACAAGTTTTCGTTTCTGACCAATTAGCAAGAGCGTTGATGAAAGTGTGCGAAAACTCGACTCATGTTAGTCTGTCACACATTCTCGTCATAAATAGGCCGGGCAAGCATGCACATTTACTGAGTTCTATTTTATACTCCTCGAGTTGAATTAAACCTCTTATTGGACGGTCTAGTGTGTAGTATCGTGGGACATTTTTACTCGTCGCTTGTATTTTGACTCACCCTACGGGCTCACAAAAATACAGCGTGACTTGTAAAAATGTCCCACGATACTACACACTAAACCGTCCAATAAGATATATTTATTTCATATCCTATATAAGCTACAATGAAGTCAACTATCATTTTAAAACCTTATGCTTACAAATTAACTTATTTGCAAAAGTTGTCTTAAAGTGCTCTGTGTTTATTTTTGGGAAAAGACACCCTACCTTATGTAATTTGTAATTTGTTTCTTTTCTCTCCGGTATTATCTGACTTAGGGGTGGCCATTTATACTTATTGATTTCTGAAAATAAAAAAGAGCAATCTTATTGGCTTTTGAGAAAGTCTACTGGATATGAAATGAAATGTCGCTTATGACATAGCCTGCAAAAACATCCGTTTCTCCTCGCTCTTCGTCGCTGGGGATGTTTCGCGTGGAGGAACGTCTGCAACTTAGCGACAGAAATTCATTGATAAACATGACCATATTTGGGAATGTGATACAATAATTAAATTAGCATAATTTCCTGATTCCAAATTGACTGGCTGTGTACTGATAATTTATGTACCTTGAGCCAGATGTCAAAAGAAGAAAATGTGAAAAAATACTCTTTGTCTACTAATAAGAGCTTGAAAGGACAAAATGTTTCCTAAGGTGTGAATGCTGGCTCAAACCCTGCAGTAAATTATATTAAGTTCAAATTATAAGTGAAACAACAGTACCCATCTAATCAGCCCGCCTTACAATAAATTAATTGTCAATTTATTGTAAGGTGCTGTATGGTGCTGATAGGTGCTGTTGGCTTATTTGTTTAAAATGAAAATCATTGTTTTTTTGCAGAAACGTGTCAAGTTACCATTGGTAAACCTCAATCAACACATAACCTGCAAATTGTGCAATGGATATCTTATTGATGCAGCAACCATAACAGAATGTGTGCGCACTTTTAAGTCCATGAATTTACATGACTTTTCTATTGACCTAGTATGACAGATAGACTAGGGAATATTGGCTAGAGATACATAGTAGCAGTAGATTCTGGGAACATAAACTAGGACTTCACAGTTTCTAAAAAGTGGCAAAGCACTCACTCACTCACTCACTCAACCTCCTCATCCCAGCTGGGACAAAAGACCACAATCAAACCTCGACACCTTAAGCCTCTCCTGAGCTTTGGCCTGCTTTTCGCTCCATGTTACACCCATTTCCTCCAGCTCATTCCTGATCATCACTGTTCTCTACCAGGTGGATTTAATTGGCTGGCGCCTCTTTTCCTTCTTTCATTTGGAGTCCATCTCATGGCTGCAACTTTGAATTATCAGTTGGCCCTTATTTGAGGGCAGCACTTTCTTGTATTTAGGAGTGATGTAATATAAAACTTCTTCTTCTTGTGAATAACACTCTGATTTCTTTCTTTCTTTTTCTTTGCTTGGTTCAAAAATGATAATAACAGCTTAAGAGGTAACGAAAGATGCATGCAGTACACAGAAATGTACTTTGGGGTCTGTGTCCCCTTTAATCAACCATCAGGGCTTAAATTCCAGCTTGTCCTGTGGGCAAGCAGCTCTTACTTCTTGCTAATCTACATTTTGTTAGAGGATGACTTGCATGGACCAGCAAGAATCCCACTCATCCCGAACTACTAGGTAGGACCTTTTTTCAGCCCTGAATCATGTCATTATTATAATATTAGGTCTAAACCAATACATCTGTAATTATTAAAAATATTCATAAGAGCAGTGTTGAGTGCAACAATTCTTGAATCAAGGGAGTGGGGGCACTTTGTAGCAAATACGTTGTATTATAGACCCCTTTACGGTTGTGAGGGCATGCTGGGTAAAGAGGACAAGGTGGCGGGGAATTCAAAAGTTTGTATGGGAATTCAAAGTCAACCAATTCTTCCTAATTGAATATATTCATTGCTTTCTCTTTGCATACTTTAACTAATGAACTTAAAGGAACTATACGTTAAATGTGGAGTGCACAGCAGTCCTTTGTCGCTTTTTAGAAAATTTGACGTCTTCCATACATTATCTTTAATATTTGTGTTGTCGGATTACAGAAAATGTATGGAAGAACTCAGGTTTTCTAAAAAGCAACAAAGGACTGCTATATGCACTCCAGATTTAGCGTGTAGTTTCTTTAAGCTCATTAGTTACATTTTTCAAAGGGAAAGTGACAAATATATTCAATTAGCAAGAATTAGCAAACTTTTGATTATTCCACCATCTTTTCCTGATTACCCAGCATGCCCTCACAACCGTAAAGGGGTCTATTAAAGGTATCATCTCTCACCTTCAGAACTGTCTTCACGTGGACTGTGCTAGCATATCTAGCTTTAATTAAGAGCTGCAAGATTGTTCAAAATGCAGATGAAGGGTTGGGTTTTATTTGCACATCGAGTTACCATAAACCTAGCACCTAATCCTATTTTAATTTATAGGAACACGACCTCGTCTCCAGTGACATTCCCTACTAAAATAAGAGTTTTCGGAGACATTTGATTATTCACATGGACTTTTCTTTTCTCTCATTGGTTCCAATTTCTTTACAGAATTGATATATGTGTTTTCAAAATATGTGTCATGCTGTAATGGCTCAAACTTTTCTACCAGGCGTTAGAAACTGGAACACAGTCGTGAGTTAAGGCTTGAGATCAAAGTTTTCGATCTGCGGGCATGACACAAAGCAGGTATATTACGGGTGCAATAACTGCATGACAGTGTTATTATGAATTAGGTTCAAGTTAGTACGGGACATTTATTTACACCTGCAAATCTCCTAATTAAACTCTGAGTTTGCCTGAGCAAAATATGGGTCTCTAACGACGAACCTGGCCTCTCAGGGATTGGAATATGGCTTAATTTGTGAGTCAGTGTCAGCAATGAATTAGATAAGCCATACTTTTGTCAAAAAATGCTCGAAATAAATCTGTTACGCTAGAGCTGAAAATATCGCATAAGCTCGCACATGCGATACAAATGTAACGGTCATAGCTTATAAAATACTGAAATCGTACATGGGTTTTTGTATATTCTTAATAACGGAAGATCTATCTTTTCGTCTATTTGGTCTAGAGCTTTGAACTGGGTCCCAAACCAGTAGCGGATCCAGGGCAGGGGCCCAGGGGACCCGCCCCTTCCCCCCTCCTCCCACTTAATTATAGACCAAAAGAAGAAGACTGGGGAGGAGTCAGAGTCAAACGTGTTGCATGAAAATTCCCCACACCTGGGCCCCAAAAAAGGGCTGGACTTTTTCCGAAAGTTACTAAGGGAGATGGTAACATGTTAAACTGAACCATTCATAATAAGCTTAACAAGCCTTCGGTACAGGCCAAACGCTCGAAGCCATATGTTTAAATCGAAACCTAACCTATGGCAGGGCGCATCCAAGTCCCAAACAAGCATGTCCTTTTTGTTTTGTGAAGTGATAGTTTTGCTTTTTTACTTTCAGAAAACTGTTTAAACCTTGTGGTTGAATATAAATCAAAGGCACCCAACGACTGTTTTCTGTAAAATGTCTGTTCGGAGAAGCAAATATTGTCTTAACCTTTCTATTACTTGAGGACGGCTAAATATTCTACATGATCGTTTCGTTCATGTACAATTTTCGAAGCTAATATCTAGCAAATTCCCTACGATTGTCTGAAGTTTAATTTTCACACATTTCACTCCCCAGTTTAGGCTATTTTTCTTAGAAAAAATGCATTTCTAGATATCTAAAAAAAACTCTGGATAGCTGAAAAAAAAGTGTTTTCAATGAATTTTGGAGGAAATCGTTGTGGGGTGTTCCTGATAAATACTGCAAACTTGAAACGACTTTCTTTAATAGCCCGATTTTCATCGGGACCATTGAGAAACAGGCCCCAGTTTCGCTTTTTTATTTAGAGTCACACCTGGCTCCGAGGTTGAAAGTTAAAGTCCACTACAAAAGTCTTCCAAGCACATCTTTATTGCAACTATTATTTACCGCGATGGTAAAGCAACTACATTTTTTCCTAACTTTTCACCAAATTAACTACAATCATATCATTATTTTATCATTTCCTTTGCCTAAAGATCCCTTCTCAATACAAAAAGATAGTATTACGCTTAAATTCCATCTTATTTCTCGGGTTTGCGATTTACAAATTTGCTAGTTCTTTATTAGGGATAACACCTAGCTTATGCTTGGAACGTGACGATAGCTCTACACCCACTTGTACAGGGCGCTGTTTAGGTTATATTTCGTGTTGTAATGGTTTACCACTGCAAGGTAAGTATGACCTTTGTACTCAAATGACGTCATACCAGCCCCTCCATTTGTTGAAATCTCTTGGTACTTGATGAACTGCGCTCCAGAAGCCTGGTACACAACTGACTGAGTGTTGTGTTTCTTACTGTCATCATAGTAATTAGACACACCCAGGTACGTTTGACCATTGATCACAAATGGGTGCAAAGCGACAGCCCCATGAGTAGGTAAGGACTGGAACAGGACGAACTTGTTGCCACTCCACTTGTAAACGAAGGAGTCGATGTTGTGTTTACTTCCAGAGTAGCGGTTGGCAAAGACAAGAAATGTGTGACCGTTGATGTTGAAGAACTTCACATCGTGCGCTCCGTAAGTTTGAAGAGACTGCAGTTTAACAAAGTGACCTCCTGACCATTTGAACACAGTGGACTGAACAGAATACTTGTGTTGGGAGTTGTAATAGTTTGCAAAAGCGATGAATGTGTCACCGTTTATGACAAACGCTGTACATCCCAAGACACCTTCAGTTGGTATGTCTTGAAATCTGTTAAACCTGCCGCTGCTCCATTTGTAGATAACTGACTTTATGGATCTGGTACTTCCGTCATGGTAGTTGGCTACTGCGAGATACTTCTCCCCGTATATTTTGAAGTACGTGAGGCGTCTTGCTCCGTTTGTTGACAATTTCTGAAAGTCGACAAACAGCTTTCCATTCCATTGATAGACTGTAGAATCTAACCGGTAAGTCCCATCGTAATGATTAGCGACAGCAAGAAAATGTTTGTTTGCGATAGAAAAGTACTCCAGGTCAATAGCTTCTCTTGTCTGCAGGGTCTGGACAAGACAAAGACAATCTTCCAGTTGAGTTGTCCATCTTGAAGATCATGGAACTTGTCTTGGATTTTTTAATGTCCCCATGATAGTTCGCAAAAGCAAGAAACAAGCTTCCATCAATAGTGAAATGTTCCACACCTACAGCTCCTCGGGTTGGAAGTTCTTGAACTTACTCAAAAAAGTGGAATCCAATAGAGTAATCTTCCACAAGAAAAAAAAAATGAAAATCTTTGTTATCAATCAATTATACTAAAAAAAACAACTAGAATATATCGACAAATAAGGTAGTAAGGTACATGTAACTCATGTGTTGTGTTTTTGCAATTTTACTGTGAAGGAGTCACGTATTCATGAAATTAAAATTCGGCAGCTCTTCTTTCCAACGAATCAATGTTATTTATTTATTTATTTATTATTTTCCCACAATAAAGATTACACAAGCATTACATTATACAAAGATGTGGCGAGGGGACCTCAGAAAACCACAAGGCTTGTACGAGGAGGCCCCCTCGTTACAATAATATTAAGCAATAGAACTATAACAACACACAACAACGGACAGTACAAGACGCATTATCGATATAGTAGAAAATCAAAAACTTTCGTTTTAAACGATTGCAATGTAAAAATCGAAGTGACTGAGTTTGGTAAAGAATTCCAAATTTTAGGGCCTTGGAACAAAATAGAAAATTGTTTGGTGTTAGTTCGGCAGGCATGAGAACGAAAATGCGAGGAACTTCTAGTATTATAATTATGAATATTGCTACTAGTAACAAAAAGGTTCGAAAAAAGCGGTGGCAGTAATTGATGATAATATGAAAACATAAATTGTGCAGTATAGAATGAATTAATGTTGTATATGTCCAAAATCTTTAAACGGAAAAATAATGGTTCAGAGTGCGCGCGAAAATCTGCATTTGTAATAATTCGTACTGCTCGCTTTTGTAGAAGAAAAAATTCTATTAAGGTTTGTTACATAAGTGGAGGACCAAACTGTGGTACAATATGTTAAATAAGGATAAATTAAGGTATAATAAAGAGACTTTTTTTGTTGTTTCAGAAAGAAAGAAACGAGAGACCTAAACATGACGCCAATAGATTTTGAAATTTTCTTACATATATAAGTAATATGCGGCTTCCACGTTAGATGCTCGTCGATAAAAACCCCTAAAAATTTAACTACCTTTACTTGTTTTAATAAAACCTCATCGTACAAGACAGGATTTATTGGGAAGCCGACTGGTTTTTGCCTTGCTGCAAAAATGATATAATTAGTTTTCGTTATGTTAACAGAGAGCTTATTTGCTTTCATAAAAAGAGCAATTTGAGATAAATCATTATTTACGGCAGAAATAGCACAATTTAAATCGGGATTAGAATAAAACACACTAGTATCATCTGCAAAAAGCATAGTTTCAGCAAGACGAGTAGCACAAGGGAGGTCATTGATATACAAAACAAACAATAATGGTCCTAATATAGAACCTTGAGGGACTCCACAGCTCAGAGTCAGCCTAATAGAACAAGTCTCTTTGTACTGGACGAACTGCACGCGATTTGACAAATAGCTTTTGAACCAGCTAAGTGCTAGCCCATGAATCCCATAATGCTCAAGCTTAGACAAGAGTATTTGATGGTCTAAAGTATCAAATGCTTTTGATAAGTCTAAGAATATGCCAACTGTATATTCGCTTCTGTCAATAGCAGTTGCAATTTTATTAATAAGATGAATTAAAGACAGCGCTGTAGAATATTTTTTACGAAATCCAAATTGGCAACAGTATAAGATATCTAAACGATCTAAAAAATTTGTAATACGATTGTGCATAACTCTTTCAAAGAATTTAGAAAAATTAGAAAGAAGCGAAATTGGACGGTAGTTAGTGAAATACTGGGAATCACCAGCTTTAAATACCGGAATCAGTTTAGCAATTTTCAGTTCATCAGGAAATACTCCTTTAATAAGAGACAAATTGATTACATTGGCCAAAGGCTGAGAAATGAGATCAAAGGTGCTTTTTATTATATCCATTGAAACGTTATCATATCCAGGCGACTTTCCAGATTTAAAAGAGTTGCATATTTGATTTAGTTCCGAAATATTAGTTGGATTTAAGATAAGCGACTCATTAACAGAAACGCCAAGAAAACTACGAAAAGATACTTGTGTGTCTGGAATTTTCCTTGCTAAATTCGGACCTATGTTGGTGAAGAACTTACAAAAGCAGTTAGCTATTTCTTGTGGATCATTTAACAGTTTTCCATCAGAGAAAAAGGAATTTGGCAGAGCTGCTTTTCTGCTCGGTTTGTTGATTACATCATTGATTAGTTTCCAAGTTTCTTTCAGGTTATTTTTAGCCTTCTCAAATTTTGTATCATAGTACTTTCGTTTAGCAATTTTTATAAGATGATTCAGTTTGTTCCGATAGCGTTTGTATTTTAACTCAGTAGTTGAGTCCCTAGAATTAATGAACTGCTTATAGAGTTTATCTTTTTCCTGATAGAAACAAGCAGAGATTGCGTTATCCAAGGGGAGCGCATTACTTTCTTTGTTTTGAGTTTTATCGTTTTTAATGGAAAGCTTTCATTGTATAATCGAACATACTCACTCACAAAACTATTATAACATTCATTAGTATCGCTTTCATCGAAACGTAAATTCAATTAACACGAGAAAGAGAGAGCCGAAAATTGCTCTTATTTCTTTCTGAAAAATCTCTTTTAGTGAGATATTTAGTTTGGCTATTTTTCGACGCTATTTCTGTCTCATCCACTTCATAAACAAAAACCGGTAGATGGTCAGAAATATCATTAATAACAATACCATTGAAATGTTTACACTTACATTATTCGTGAATATATTATCAATAAGTGTGGCCGAATGAGCAGTGATCCGAGTCGGTCTATTGATTAGAGGAATGAACATATGGGAAAATAGACTATCAACAAATTCTTGAGTAGGGGCATGATCGGAATAGTGAAACAGATCTATATTGTAGTCTCCACCCAAATAACAATATTTGTCATTTCTAGTTATTTTAGCAAGAATCTCATTAAATTTTTCCAAAAAGTCCCGAGTGTTATAATTAGGCGGACGATAAACAGTACCAACTATACCAACAGTACCAACTATAATGTACATGTACATGTACATGTACATGTACATCGTAGACAGCAGTAATAAATATTGCTCATACCGGCTACACAGCACTTCGATTTTCTCTAAAAGGCAAAATAAAAACAACATAGAACAATTTAATAACAAAGTTAACAATCTCCTAATGTAGTTATTTATGTAAACTATAGGGTTTAACACCAGTTCAGTCATTCAACTTCTCCCTTAATTGATCGGACATCAAGAGATAAAAAAGGCTTCTGCTGTCAGAATGACATTGTGCTGAGTAATCTAATAATAACATCATGTTTGGTGTTAGTGAACATAGACGGCGAGCATTATTTTGTTCTTCATCCTTAGACTTGTGGGAAATGCGACTTGACTTGAACTTTACCAGTAAAACACTCGATTGTCACTTGTCATGGCCTTGCCGCTCACTCAAGCAAGCTCTTCCCTTTTAAAATAACACGCATGCAACACGTGTATCAAGTCTATGGTAATTTAATTGATGGTTTATCGTATAAGGATTAAAAAAAAGGAAAAAAAAGGTTATAGAGAATGAAAATCAGAAAACTGTTTTAAGACAATTACCTTTGTATCACACGTTCCCGGCATTCCTTTTTGTCCTTGTGATCCTTTATCACCACGAGATCCTTTCTCACCCTTTGTAAAGAAATCAAAAGTAATTATTAATGATGAACATATATTAATATTCTAGTAGATAGCTTAAAATCTCAGTAATTATTCGAACTGATCACAACTTTTTCCTTTATTGTAGCGACACAAAAAGAAAAAAATAATAAAGATTTTAAAGATACTTGCGGTACTTGTTTTATACAAGAAAGGAATCCATAGCTTAGGAGAAATCGAATTTTACCTAAACCGAGTAACATTTACAACTGCGCAGAAGCAGGACCACTAAAGAAAATTGAATAATTCGTATTTTGATGTAAGGATAAAGCACGCGCCTTCCTTTTTATTTTGGACTCTGAAAATTACTAGTCATTTCTGTCTTCAACTTAATTTAAGAAGTACAAAGTTACGCTTACTTGAACAACACCATTACTGTTTTTATTCATTCCTGGTTCTCCTTTCTCACCCTACAACAGAAATAATAATAACCACACAAGATGATAATAAGAATAATTAATAATAAGAATAATACTTGAATAAAGCTATTGAACTGTAAGAGAATAGTGACAACGATGATGAAGAAGATAATAGTACGAAAAAAAAATGAAACTAAAAGATCAGGTGAAATAAATTAAAAAGGACAGCAAACAGGCCGGAATAGACTAATTTAAACGCCAAGCCTTCAAATTTGAAGGTTGTTAAAGGCGGTTTGATAAGTTGTTATGATCATTTCCATTTATTGGGGTGTTATTTAAGATTCTTTGTTGGGTTATCATAGAAACTCAAATTTGGCTACCAGGAAAAAATATATTAAAGACGTTACATTTATTAAGTTAAAAGTAAGATTTCGATTGTTGCAACATTGACGGTTGAAAAGAAGCCTAAAATTTTCAATTCAGTCGTTTGATTTCCGAATTTGCGCACAGCTTACAATTACTGAGTAACCCTGATTTTTTAAAAGCACCTTTATAACCAAATTGCAACATACAGTTTTTGAAATTTTCAAGAATTCCGAAACAGCTTTCGCGTCACAAAATTCCTTTGTTCATTATGCATTTGAGGCTTTTATTGATGACTAAAGTAAAACATGAAGAGCATTTCTGGTAAATTTCGACAAAATTTGAAAGAGTATATTTTAAGGTGAAGTTATTGTCGCTTATTTACACTGCCTTTGAAAACCAACAAATGAAAGTCGACAAAAACAAAATAAATTTCTCCTGACAATAACTTACAACTATAAGGGAATGGAATCTTATCGCTTTGACAATAAGAGCAGAAAGTTACCGATTGGAAACTTTTGTCAGAATCATCAAAGTTAGTTTTTTAAATAAATCTTATATAGTATTTCTACTATTTTACTTTTCGTTTCTTTTAGATGCGAAAGCGTTTAAGAATAATTATTGAACTAAAAGTAGGAAACTTCTAAGCATGTTCTCAATTTTCCTCACATTATTTCTTCAAAACTACATTGGCTGCGCATATCTCCTCATGATTAAAATGTTAACATCCATACAGCAAAAGTGGAAAGCATTTCTAGAGAAACTGCTTTCAGTAACGTTAAAGTTAAAATAAGGAACAATGTTATGGGGATTTTACCCCGGGAAGTAGTTGTACTTTTTACTTCGAATTTTGTGATCTTAACTCTTAACGCCAGCATTCCCATCTTTTATTCCTTGCATCCCTGTTTCTCCTTTTTCTCCCTCAGTACATATTTACAAATAAATGGAAAAAAACTGCAAAAACTATAACTGAAAAAAAATATGGAAACGTTGAACTGCCATAACGCGGCAGAGGTTTTCTGACTTTTTCTGAGGTTAAGTATCATACGGATAAGTGACATGGAGTAGATATATAACCCTTAATATTCGCAAGTTAAATAGGAGGATGGGAGGTGCACTCGAGTAAAATTGTTGGGCTTGTGTCCCTAGCTCCCGAGAGGGCTAATCTCATTTCTAGGCTATTTCTTTGGTCAATTAATAATACCGTCCCCATCGCAATCCTAGCAAAGTCAACTGACTTGTGTGTTTATGGTCAGTTCTCCTTTTTAATCCTTCTAATTTCCAATAAGGCCGGTGTTGAATATGTGCGTCCCCATTCCGATGTATGCATTCGTGCCGGGAAATCATGATTCCTTTTCTAGGGAGACTCATAATTAACGTTGTGTTAACTCGACGACGTAAACAGGTGAGAAAACAATTTTTTTTCTCCTTTTCCGGGCAAATACTCTACTAATGGAATGAAATGGATCAGTATATCGGGAACACGTGAATCACACTTTTTCGTCGAACACAACTCGACGTGAGATTATCCGATGCAACGTTTCATGTGGAAGAAAATAAAGAAAATACTAGATGAAAAATTTTTCTTGATGCGGTCCCTTTTCAACTTGACCAACTTCCGACTTGTAAATAATTGCAGGAGATGGAACAAGCTAAAAAAAAACCGAAAGCGCTATTAAGGTTTAAGAAATTCCGCAATACACTTTACAGAAGACGTTTTATGTTGGCTGCATGTTTCACCCTTGTTTTGCTTAACAATTCTTGATTCTTGATAGTAGCTAAATAGTGGCCAAGGAAAAAAAAAACAAAAAAATTCAAATGGATTTTTGCGAAATCTAAAGAAATAAATAGTATTTTATAGATTGACAAATAATCTTGTCATAACACAGTAGTAAGATCTAGGTGTGTAATTCAGTACAGAGAACGTTAACTCGCCTTTGCTCCAACAGTCCCATCACGTCCGTCGCGGCCATCTCTTCCTAACGAGTGCATTTAAACACAGAAAAGGCGTTAATCCACACATGACAATTTAGGTCGTTAGGTATCAGTTGTAGCTTATATTTATATTTATTTGCATTACTGTTTTCAGTTTTATTTACATCACTAAAGGTTTTTATATTTGCTGCAATTGGTATTTTTATTGTAATACGGAAACAGGATTACAATTTAAAGATTTACTACGCGAGAACAAAGTCGGCCCCCGAGTATAAAATGAAGCATTTTTATGAGCAGATCATTCAACAAAAAGTTTAGAATATTCTTTACAGTTTTCAGTTATGTCTATGACACTAGAACAAACCGAAACAGTTCTTCAGAATTGTTTGTACTTCTTCAAGAAAATTAAATCAGTTCATATATAATCGTCTTATTATAATTATTGTGGAATTCTCTAGTAGTTTCCTTTCCTCCCAAGTCAGTTTTGCACTCCACGAAAACTGAATGCTGCATTATCTTTTTTTCTTTAGTGTTATCATCAACGTGAATCTTAAGGCAACTTTAAAATATCTGAACCCAAACAATAGTGTGATGTCTTTGTTCGTTGTTCTCTTTTGCAGTTTTTACTTTGCATTAAAATCGCGGATTATATTTCGGCCTGAAGGAATTGGCACGTCGATAAATGTAAATACAATTTCCACCTCAAACTAGATCACCATTCATTCCATTTAATCAATCTTTTCTAATTCTAAGAAGGCTACGACATGGGTACTAAACATCACATTTTAGTCCGTGTAACGATTCGTAACGCTTGAGAACGTACCATCTCTTCCGCATCCAAGCAGTGGAACAGTTTTACAGTTGTTTTGGCTTTCGGCAGATTCGTTCGCCTGTTTAATTAAAATCATATAATAAAAGAAAGAAGATTTAAGGCAACGTTGCTAAAAATTAGACAACTTTCAGTTCCAGACTACACAAAATTTACGGCGACAAGAGTACTGGCTAGGTTTTCCAAAAATATAGAAACCTCGATTT